ATCGACGCCGGATCTCGTTAAATTGAAAGATCGGCCTGCGCGTTCCCCCAAAAAGCCGCCGAGAGGCTACTGTCGATCTATCTTTCACCCCCTTCTGTTTTTCTTTTCTCTCTTTCGGCTTCATTGAATTCCTCTTCATTTAATTTGCTCGACGAGTTAACTCGATCCTAGATTTCATTGATAAAGGCTGTTTAAGTCGCTCTCCGAAGTAGCGCCTTGATTGGGCACCGAGGGAACAGGAAATGCTTATGCAGTTATATAGAAAGCAAAATTACAGAGCAGATACGGCACTTACTCGAATGCCGTAACGTTTTCGTTTCCATTTAACAGTAACATTATTTCTCTCTTGTTTCGTTATCGAGAAACAATTACAGATAGAATAATAGTGCATTCCGAACGCTAACTGTAAAGATTTGCCCGCTACCAAATTGATAGTTATGAATGCATCGTGCGATCGCGCCAAGTCATCCGCCCGACGAGGGAAGGCTCTGGAAACGAGCGAGAAAATTGCCAGCAGAAACAGAACCATCACTTTCTGCTCTAGAAAGCTCTGCAATACGCCGTTTGTTTTTTCATTGTGGCGCGCCACCAAAAACCTTACCGAGAAACGTGTGAATTGCCATCTCACGCCTCCATTTTCCCTAGCGATGTACAACGCGCGCATGCTAACAGAGATAACTTTTTGGAGAGGCCCGATTGGAGAAGAACGCCAAGGAACGCCCGCTCGATTAATTAAATGGATTTAATTGGATTGTTACGGCAGTTCGACAGACATAGTTGAATAAAAGGTCGCGCGAATCCTTTGAAATCGGCTTGCGCGCAGTAACACGCAAGTCTCATTCGATTTTTCGTGCTTTCAACGGGCTAAAGATCGTCATTTCAATCCGGCCAGCCGCTGCCGGAGAGCTGCAGAGCATGCAGAGCGGCTAGCGCGAGCTGGCGCGTCGACAGCGCAATGCGCGCCGGCCGGAGCATTCAAACGCCGGCAGCGTGATTTTCCAATATCGCGATGCCTGAATAAGCCATTCATCTGCTCCCCATTGAATAAACATTGAACGTATCTCTGTGGCGCGCGGATGCCTCGAGAGAATAAAGGCCGAAGAAATAAAAAAAAAAAAAAAAAAGAAAGAAAAAAAATAAGGAAATAAAGCCGACCTGGGTCCAGCGGCGAGGGCGCCGGTTGGCAGGTGTAGAAGGCCGACGGCAGCGGCGATCCCGGTGACGGCAATGCGCTGTGCGGCTGGCGGTTCGGCCGACCTGACGGACAGCTGTAGCAGCGCGAAAAGTAGCGCCAGCATGTTCGGCTTCCTAGTCGAGACTGAGCCCGGCGCGGAGTGTTCCGGCGAACGCGCGAGGCGCACACCGCTAACGGTACCGTGGGCCGGCTTTTTCGAGGTCACGACCCACTTTTGCAGTGCGCGCACACGCGCGCAGAACGCATTCGCGGACGTAACCGAAAGACAGTAAGCTGTGGTCGTGCACTCTCTCTCTCTCTCTCTCTCTCTCTCTCTCTCTCTCTCTCTCTCTCTCTCTCTCTCTCTCTCTCTCTACGTGAGAGTGTACGTTTATTGTGCGCTCGCGCTCGTTTCGCGCGCTCGCGCTCGTAGGTTCAATGCACGCAGATCGGAAGAAAGAGAAACGCAAAGCAAACGCAAGAGGAGGATGCATCCAGTGAGAGAGGATTTATCTCGATTGAAGGCAGCTGCCAGATAAGCTCTCTCTCTTTCTCTCTTTCTCTCTCTCTTCTTCGAGACGCAGTGACAAAAAAGGTGAGAGAAAGAGAGGGGAAAGAGAGAGAGACAGAGAGAGAGAGAGAGAAGGAGGTACGCGCCGATGACCTCGCTTTTAAATGCTCCGAAGAGATGCCGATCGCCTGCAAGCGGCGTGTGAGCACACAGCCAAAGTTAGAGCCAGAGAGAGAGAGAGAGAGGCCACTATGCACGTGCTACAGAGACGGATGATTTTGCGCCACGTATTCTCTTGCTCTTGCTGCGCGTCCGAAAGTGAGAGAGGTTTTTGCTCGCGATGCTTTTCAATGCTGTATGCTCCGCTGCTGCTCACGGTCGCGCAGACGACGACGCCGCCAAACCACGACAAATTTCATCCAGGTGTTGAGAGGATCTTTGAGCGAGTTTTTATTTGTTTGTCTGAAAGTATAGCGATACTTCCACGCTGGGTTAAAAAGTTTCAGTGTTATTATCGTCGCTGTTGTTTCGTTAGCAGCAGGCAGAGAGACTAATTTTCCGAGCCTGCGGTCGACAAAAAGAAAGCCTCGTTCCGCATTCGCGAGCAGAAAGCCAATCGTACGTTAGAATTTCATTAAAGCTTTGGAATTGAAAATATACGCGCGCAGAGTCCGCTATGGCATAAACGTCGTCGAAGAGGGCAACCAAGCTATATTATTGGTATAGGCATCTCTACGGTCGGTATGTTTGCGAGAACACAACTGAACCACAGCTGTCTCAAAACCACACGAATCCTCAAGCTCAATAGCTAGTCTAACGATGCTTTCCGTACTGTAGGCATAATGCACGTAACGAACCATAGATATCCTACGTATAGAACATTTTACTTTACGAGCGATTTAGCTTACGACGATAATTTCTCATCGGTATTTTTAGCGAAACCAGGCGATGGACCATGCCTGTAGAAAGTTACTGGGTATTTCCGGACTATAATACGCACGCCACCGCCGAAATCTGCTGCGCGCGAGACGGGAAAGAAGATTACGCAAATACACACACACACACTGGCTGAATCTAATGTCCTTTCACTGTGGCTCGACCAATCGCCAGCTTGGATTACGTTACACGTAAATGCCGCCACGATCGCAAGCGAGCGAGCAAGCGAGCGAAAGCACGCATGGAGATTGACGCTAATGCGATCGCGCAATTACTCAGCCGCTCGTGTGCACGAACGTGTCCGGTCCATTAGCAGCACAGTCCGCGCGCGCTCCATCCCTGCGTGCCTGGCATCCTCTCTTCCTCTTCGCGCGCGTATAAGCTACTCTTGTCAAAGCTTCAGATTTTAATTACGCCTCTCTCTCTCTCTCTCTCTCTTTCCGCGTTTTTTTATATACGCACGGCATTACCGTTTTATTCAACACTTGTAATGGTTTCACCGTGCTCGCGTCTTCTTTTATAGCACGGTTATTGGATTCGTTACTCAGTTGCTTATAAGGATAGAATCTCTTCCAAAATAAGTCAATGACGAATTATTAACATTGGAAGAGTTCTCACCTGTATAAGGTGTCGCTGCTTTGACGCGCTGATGAGATAGATATGAACGGGGGGGGGGGGGGGGGGAAGAAACGCACTGGTCAGCGACCGACGCGTCAACTCGATCAAGTGTATATACAGCGGCAGTTCGACATTCGCAAAAAGGCGGCACCGGCAGGCTCGAAATTCCTGGGGGGCGCGAGACCAGAAGTGAAGCGCTTACGGCCGAGCGCACAAATAAAAGCCGACTTACTCTTCGCGCGTTTTTACCGGGTGTGCGAGAAAGAGAAAGAGGCTCTTAACGTAACTCCTTATAAGTACGTCTGCGCGTTTAAAGCCTCTTTCATTGTTTTGCCGCCACCGGCAAACAGGTATTTGCCCAAATCATCAAAACTTTGTTTTCGACAACTGTAATCGTGGAAATGTGGATTCGACGTGCCCCTTTCGCCCTGACTATTTTAACAACGTTGCGCTGCCTCTGTAGAATGTATAAAAATTTGATATCACGCCAAAGTCATTTGATATAGTATATCACAGTGACTCGGCGGAAATTAATATAGGAAGGAGCGCGAGGGGAGCATATGGAGCGATTGTGTCGGATAAGCGTCTAAAAATAAGATGGAATAAAAGAAAAAAAGAAGGAACGGGAATTGTAGGAAAAGAATTTCGTATGCTCTCCCAAGTAAATGAAACTAGACGGCGGAGCTCCTAAACAAGCCCGGTCGACGTTAAGTCTCCGCTGCAAATCGCGGCTTATAATCTGCCCGTGATACATCCTCGCTCGGAGCTTTTTCATATCGAAAGGGGCTCGAGGCGCCTAATCCCGCGTTATAGATGGCCACGCTCGTAAGAGAGGAGCGAGCAACGGGCTTTCTCACACAACGGCAGCGAGGAAGAAAGGAACAAGATTAATGCTCCTAAGAGCGTCTGCTTGCTGCTGTCACGGCCCTCTGGAAAACTCGGACGGGGTGTTGCGCTGCTGCCCATAGTGAGACGAATTTTCCCGCGGGGGTGCGCGAACAACTCGCGGCGAAACGCGATGCATTCGAAACCCGAATTCCCATGGAGATGAAGTAATTTCTTTTGTTTCTTTCTCATTGTTTTTTTGCTTCACTTCGCGGGCGCTCGTCTCTTTTAGCGGCGCGGTGGCTCTTGAAAACTCAATTTCTTTTTGTGAGTGAATGGCTTGCACTGTGGTTTTTTGTCGACGACTTGCCTCTCTCTCTCTCTCTCTCTCCGTTTTTTTATGACCTTTCCTCCGCGCGGTGCTGCCGTTTTTTAATTGTTCGAGGGCTTTCTTTCGTGGCTTTTTTACGGTATACCGTTTTCTTATACTGACTCGGCGCGAGCTGCAGGAAAACTAATTAGCTCGTGTTAGCTTTTTAATAGTCTGCCGACGGATGTGTGGAACCATCGCGGGATCCTCATACAGCTTTAATATTGCTTGTAGTTATAATTGTGCATTCAAGTTGTTAAATGCAATGATCTTCAAAGATGTAACTCGTGATTAGAGTAATTGAAATTTCGTTTAATACGATTTAAACAATACTTTATTATGGGATATTGGCATATTGAATAACAATCGCGAATAATTCACGTCTCTCGTACATACATTATTGAAACACGCCGAATCGATCAGTGGATCATCACTCGACGAGGATGGGTTGGACAAAAAGGAGTAAACAACTTATACACTCGTAATTTTGCGATTTCACATATAATAAATTTTTATTATTAATTCGGCTAAGCAAGAATATTTACAAAGTTGTTTGTTTTCGAGACTATTTACAGATAAATACAATCATGTTTGGCGCTGCGACACAAATATTACATCGAGTCGTGGATGCGCTCTCCTTACCAATAGGAACTCTCGTACAGTCTGTTCGTTGCAGCTTGAGCAAGTCGCATGGTCGATATTTAATTATTATAAATACAAAAATATCGTACAAAAACATGTGTGTGTGTGTGTGTGGGTTATTATGAAAAAGACTATATGCCTGTTTGTATAGGTATGTGCATTGCATTAAAAAAAAAGGAAACGAACAGCTTTCGTCTCGTGGGGATGTAACAGTCGTTAAAAGATAATCTCACTTGACGCGCACAAAAAACAACGGAATCTTCGTATATAAAAAGGACAGGGAGTGTCCCCTCGAGACGAGGCCGCGCGCGCGGCAATTATGGCATTTTGGTGAAACTGTAAGACGCGTTCTATATAGAGAAATATATAAAGAACATAGACTTTTGTACATTAAGGGACGAAGAAAATAAAAGTATAGAACAGACGCTCGTGGCAACGACCATAAGAAAAATACAAGTTGATTAAGCCTATGTACGCAATTTTATACATACAATTATTACAGATACAATACAAGCGAATTCCTCTCAGATCTTGCAAAGAATATTGTATTTGATCGGATTTTTTCGTTCTTCCTATACATTATTATAGATAACGCGGCAATTTTATACACACGAGGGACTGGCCACTTCGGTGACTTGTCACTTGTTACCAGCTTTTTCGTCTTACACAATTCTACAAACTGTACAAATATTAATCGTCACAGTAGTGTTTGGACGCACTACTGATCTCTTCCATGTGGACGCCACTTTTTTTATTCAGTCACTCCACGTCTTAATCATCATCGCCATCATCATCATCATCACCATCAGTCTCATATCTGGCACGGTTATACCCTCTCGTTTATCATCAAACCTCTTCTTCGGGCTCCACCTCCTTCACCCGCCTAAGCAGCTTGGCAATGACAATGATGCAGACGAGAATGGCTACGGACGTGCAGGCGGCAAGGAATGCCCATGGAAATATGTTTTCGAAGTTTTTTTTTATCCTGTGCACTTGGACGGAGCTTGGCCTTGTGTCGACTTCGATGGGGAAGCTACCGGGACCCTCGTTCGAGGCGATCCTCACCAGATACTTGGTACCGGGCAGCAAGGAAATCTGTGCGAAATTGGAGTCAGCGACTTGGTTACCCATGAGACCACCAGCTTCGGGCTCCCACGATATGACAAACGATTCCTTGGCGACTTGGCTTTGAGCTCGTTCGTCTTCCGAGTCGACGGTCGATGGCTCTGGATTGGATTCGTCGATCTGGTGCGACTCGTGATCGCGCCTCTTCAAGAAGAAACGACGGAATACTTCCTCGGGAATAGCTTGCTCCTCGTCCTGATTCCTCCACTCGAGCACTTTCTCGCCGTATTTCTCGAGGAAGAACTGCCTCACCCTGTCGTTGAATTTCTTCTGCTCGGCAATCTGTTGCCTCTTGAGCTGATGATCGACATCTCGCCAGGAGATTGTAGCTTCGTAGAGTGGTCCTTCCTTCAGAGAATCCAAAGTAGGAGTCCACTGTTCCCAACTGTAGTGGGCAACACCGCCGTCCTCGACAACGGCGACGATCCACTCGTCTTGGCGAAGGTTGCTCGGAGCTCGTACGCCAGGGTAGAAGTCGAATACCCGCCACTCGTTGCGTACCTTGCGCAGCATCACCGCCACGTCATTCTTGGTCAGGCTCACCGGGGCGTGGTGTGGCGCTGGTAACATCGATGGTAGGTACGGCTCGACTACTTGACTCTTTCGGTATTCGCAGGCCGTTCTGCACGATGGACACTGTTGACAGAACAATTATGTGCTTGAGTTTATGTGTCTATGTTATGTCGGCCTGTGTAAGCACGTGGAAAAGAGGAGGCGACTGTCGAGAGGGCTTTTGGCGCCTGGTCAGCCGTTTTAATGAGCAGCAGCCTTCTCTTTCTTGGCGCACTCTTATCTCACGCGAGACGTTTGATTTTGAAGGGCGGGTGGGGGGGGGGGGGGGGCTTTTAAAAAATGTGAATGTGCTAAATATTCGATGCTTTGCAGATTTTGCCAGTTCCACGTTTAAAAAAAAAAGAGTACAGCGGTAATCATCGACATTCTTACGAGTACGTAATCAAAACAGCCGAAGGCATCGAGGAGCGAAGAGATGGGAGTGCCAAAGAAGAAAGAGAGAGAGAGAGGGAGAGCTTCGGTTGGATAACTTATTTAGAGCAGTACGTAAATAATTAAATGCGTGGTACGTTATCTGCGGTGCCGGAGGTGGGCTCAAAACGACGGGGCGTTAAGAACAAGCAGTTAGCGAAACGGTGTTTACGTAGCGCGCGTATAAAGAGCGGGCCGTTTAGATACGCGCGCGCGCGCACTCGCGAAAGCAAATTAACGGCCGGTAATTTTAGTGCTGCAGGGAGAGGCCATACGGAGAGAGACGGAGAGAGGGAGGGAGGGAGCGAGAAAGCTAATTAACGATCGTCCAAAGTCCGTGCGTCGAAAATTCCGATCGGTCTGCGCTGCGTGTATGTGCTTCGCGCGGGAGATAAGATTTACGTTGCGGAGGAACTTTTTCCTTTTTCATAAATTTTTACACTCGATTTCTCGCGCACCGCGGCGTCTAGGTATCCCGAAATGTATCCACAAGTATGTTTGAGAAGATTCTTATCTCCCTTGGATGAGTATGCGTGCGTGCGTGTGCAGCGAACAACGCACGGCGACTCTCTTTTCTCTCCCGAACGCCCGAGCAAAGAGAGAAGAACAAGAACGAGAGGGCCTTCGCTCCTTTTTATGTCGGAGGCTGTGTGTGCATTGTGCGCATGGGAGACAGAGAGAGGGAAAGGGAGAGAGAGATTCTGAGTCTGGTAGCTTTGTTATGGGCAAAGAGAGAGAGAGAGAGAGAGAGAGAGAGAGAGCGCATGCGCGAAACGCAATCGATTTATCGACCTCCCGCACTCGACAGGATTTTTTTTGAGGGAAAATCTGCAGCGATCGATGTAACTGCATGGACCGTGACAAAAGCCGAAGTAAAGGCGATAAATTTTTGGTCGTTAGTGTCGCCTCGTTGATTCGTGGAAATCCGTGTCGGAAAAAGATCAATATCGACTACCAAAGAGACACTATAGAGAGTATATATATTTTTTACCCTCGAACGTTCTGTGAAAATCGGCGCAGGTAGTAGACCAAGAGGCTGTGTTATAAGATGGATCGCCGAATTGAGACGCGCCTTCTCTTTCAATGGACTGTTAGCGGCGTCGCGTCGTGGGAGCCCTTCGGATTCGTCGGAGAGAGGAATGCTTCGTGCTGCGTTTTGGAAAATGAAGAAGAGGAGGAAAAGAAGTGGAAACCCGAGATGAAGCGAGGACGAAAGATTGGAACTATGCGATAGACCGTCGAAATGGTCGTCGCGTGTAATTGGAAAAATTGAAGAAGAAACGAGAGGAGAGAGGAAAGGCAAACTGAATTGGTCGATCGCGCAGGAACATAAAAAAAAGGAACGATTCGAAAAGACGCGCCCGCGCACGCCGACAGACAGAGAAAAAGAGATCGAGAAAGAGGGGCCTTGGTAACCGGAGAAGTCTCGCGGTGCAGTCGGTCGGATCGATGAGCTTGCGCTTGGCCGCTCCATGATCGGATTGCAGCACCTGATGCGCGCGAATTACCTGGCTTCTCTTTCTCTCCCTCTACTTCGGAACCTTGTTCGCGGCTCGCGATTAGCCCCGCAAAGGCCACACCATCGGCAAAAAAGCCTCAAGAGACATTAAGCTTTTGCTTTACTTCTCTTTCTTCCTTCGCCAAGAACTTGAGAGGAGAAAAAAACAACGCAAAGTTAATGTGCGCGTGACATTCTTTCGAATTTATTTTTACTGGCATGTCTACCTTTCCTATAGGTGTATAAGCGAATCGAGATTGCCTCGACGGAATTAACACTCTGTGGAACTGAGTGCATCACTCATATTTTCTCCTTCTCTCTCTCTCTCTCTCTCTCTCTCTCTCTCTCTCTCTCTCTCTCTCTCTCGAATCAATTTAAGTTTCAAAAAATAATAATAAAAAAACAATCGTGTCAAGACAATCAATCAAGGTTTTTTTCTCTTTCTCGTTAGAGCATTACGTGTCGAGTTGTTAAAAAAAACTAATAGAGAGAAAGAAACGACCGCGATGAATAAACATAAGCCTCCGTATATCACTCGAGGAAAAATTAATTTTCCATATAGCCCCTGCAGCAGAATTAATTGCGCACTGCGGATAGCAAGATTTCCTCAGGCGCACATAGGCAGAAATAAAAAGAAAGATATATGCTCTTTCTCTCGTCGCCGCGGTTGCTGCGAGCGATCGCTCATATATAAATACGTACGCGCGATAATAAATCACGCGCGATCTAAACATATTTTTCTGCTCGATTAACCGAAATAAATCCTTGAGAGCATGTCTCCGAGTCCCAAAAAAAGAAAAATTGAGAATTCGGAACGCGCGAGGGGGGATATGTAAATTTCCGGAAAGTGCAGCTCGACTCTCTCTCGAGAATAACTCTCTGCTGGGAGGCTCTCTCTCTCGGCTTCTTTAAATACGTAATTAATGCGACCGTTCTTTCTCTCTCTCTCTCTCTCTCTCTCTCTTTCTATCTCGCTGCTTTTTCGTAGACATACACTGGGTCTGGCGATCATAAACAAGGAATTAATTACGAACAACGCGGCTCGTAAGAACACACGAGCGCATTTTTTGCGCGTTCCGAAGCAAATTTCTCTCGCGCGGCGTGTGCGAGATAATAACTAAAATGCGCGGGCGAAGAGACAGAGAGAGGCTATTGAAGGCTAATTCAGCTCCCTCTCGATCCTTTTCTCCATGTCTCATGAATTTTAATGTGGCCCGATACATTTTGATTCTCTTCGGATATTTTAATTATCAATCCCAACATGGAATCATCGTTAATTTCTCAAACGGCGTTTGGCCGGAGAGGAGGATAAATAAGTAAGGCAATAGGCATTGTGTCGGTCTGATGGTCTTACCTGCTTGTACTCTTGCTCGTCGCAGTTAGTTGGTTGCGCCTGTTGCTGCTGCTGGGCCTTGGGGCTAGCGGCCTGCTTCCAACCGCCCCACTGACGCTCCAGGGCCTCGCAGTACTGCCAGCACTGGGAAAAAAAAGATCGACAGTCAGCTACGTATTCTCTGCTTCCCAGGTATGCGTGCGTGTGTCACACGTTGTAACGCATAGAGAAAGATCCAACGGGAGCATCTCGTACAAAGGAAAAAGGTTTCCCGAGAGAGGGATCTCTATCGCGAAATAAGAGAGAAAGAAACCAGGAGAGCGAGAGAAAGCGCGAGTGAGCGAAAGAAGGAAGAGGGCAAGTCAGCGAGGAGGAAGAGAAGAGGAAAAAAAATAAAGAAAAGCAAAAAAAAACGAAGAAGACGTAGAGAAAGAGTCTACGTTATGGCTGAAACAGGTTGGAGGCTAATTCGAATCCTTCTGCCCTTTCTCGCTCGCTCGCTCGCTCTCTTCGTCCGCGCGCGCGGCGTCGTTTTCATATTTATTGGGGTATACGCGAGCGAGAGCGGCGAGCCTGTTTCGTGATTTCTTCTCTCTCTCTCTCTCGCTCGCTCGTGCTCCTTTATTTTGTCGAGAAGAGAGCGAAGCCCACTCACTCAGTGTGCAGGCTCTCTCTCTCTCTCTCTCTCTCTCTCTCTCTCTCTCTCTCTCTCTCTCTCTCTCTCTTCGTAGAAACGCCACGGGGGCAACGTTAATGACGTATCCGAAGGGACGTCGAGCAAGAAAAGAGAACGCGCTTTTGCTTGCCTCGCTCGCTTGGCTGTTTAATAAATTCATAAATTGCAGCCGAACGCTCGCTTGATCGCGTTATACGCTCGCGCTTTTAACATACTTGATTTACAGCAATTATAATCGCTCATGAGCGAGCGGCCGAGGGAGAGAGGGATTCAAGGTCCTCCGCTTCTCTCGTCGTCGTCGCCGTCGTAGTCGTCGCGGTGGTTTTTTTCTTGCAGCGGCAAGCAAACAGCAGCAGCAGCAGCAGCAGGCTGGCCGTCTCTCTGCTCTTGCTTGTTATTGCGAAGCGGAGCGAGCGCGGCCGCGTCCACGGGTTAGGCGCGCAAACGTAACGCCGACGCGGATTCCACATCGCCAACTCTTTGATTATCTCAATTACAACGCTCGCGGCGCGCTAATGATCGCGCAGGCGGCACGCGGTTCCGTGAATATCAATTTTACGGATAAGCCGTAAGCTCGTGGCTTTTACGAGGCGCTTAAAACCACGCGACTTACGGTGTATTGAGTGCGCATTTGCAATTCGAAACCCGACTCTCGCTCGCCCTCGCACAACTGTTGCTGTTCGCGCTGCTCGCTCTCGACGACAAATTATTCCGGCAAGGAGGTCGTTAAGGAGACCCCCACCCTCCCTCCTCTCCAACCTCCCCATCCACCCCCCTCTGCGCGCGTATCTCGCGAGGAAAATGTTGGCAATTACCCTGCGCGCGAGAGCTCGAACATAGTCATCGGGCACCGACCGTCCGACCATTTCGACGAGATGGAAGCGCAGCGGATAATTACTTGCCACGGAACATCGCAGGGCAAGGTCGTTGGCCTGATTACTCGGCTTAAGCGCTTTTTACGTGCTCCGAATAAATCTGTATGTGTGTGCATGTTTGCACAGCAGCCTGTAATTTGATACCGATTATAGACTTCGAGACGCGCCTCGAGAGCATCCCGATCGTTTGGCGTTCTTTTTCTTTTCTTTTTTCACTCGATCGCGCGGGATGACGCGCTCTCCAGAGGGCAGAAGAGCACCGTTGCGATTAACAATGAAGGCGCGAGCGCACGACGAGCATCCCCATTAACGGACACATCACTCGCGTCGTCGTCGGCGACAGCAGCGGCAGTCACGACACGCAATAGAAATAATGGCTAACTGGCTTGTGCCGTAGCGTAGCGTGTGCCCGTGAATCCCCCGTGAAACTTAACGGCTTGGAGACGTCGGGGAAAAAAAAAGGGAAAAAGAGAACGACCATTAGCGTGCGCTGGGCTCTCCTTAACGGATGCCATTAGCGCGCGTTATTTTCATAGTAGGCCTAGGATGCGTCGCGCCGGGTCGCCTTCTTCTCTTCCCGAGCCGTTTATTTTTTCCCGCGCGACCGGAAAATTCAAGCTGACCTGCGACCACGACGCAGAGCCCCCAGAAATTCGAAGCGCGTCGCACGTGATTCTGGCTCGTGTTCGTGCAGCGAGAGACGTGAGAGAATAAGAAAAAAAGAAGCGAATGTGGGAAAAGAAACCTCTACGTGTAGACGTAACACAGTCGAGGACAAATATAGTCGGTTTGATAACAAAATTGTTGGCTGCCGGTCCGGGAGTTAATAAGCACTGGCGTGAATTATTCGCTGAAAAGTATGCGCACCACTCGCTACCTGTCGATAAAGGTCAATATACGTATACGGAGAGGCGGAACTGGGTGCCCGTGACGCTTTCGAGGGGGCAAAAACGAGGCAGAAGAGTAGCGTGCCGGGAAGTAAGACAAAGAGAGCGAGAACGGGGGGCGCGAAAAAATAGCGAGCGAGAGGAGCGAAAGGGAGAATCGACTGATTTACGAGCTGCGATATTCGGTTATCGATGGCGAGCGGGCGAGCCGAGCGAGAGCGCCGTGGAGTTAGCGCGGGAGAGAGAAAGAAGCGCGAGCCAAGCCAACCGCCGTCGCGATAGCATCGACTTGACGTTGCGCCGGCGTGATCGGCAAACAATTACCCCCGGCGAATCGCGATGCTCATTACCTAGCGCCCGCTTCGCGGGACCCGCGCGCGCTTCTCTCTTCTCGGTGTCTCGGTTCGCGCGGCGACAAATTTCGCGCGGCCTAATTGAGCCTCCAGCGGCGCGCAATAATTGTCATTCTAATCTAGATGCTGCCGAGGTGAGCGCGCGCGCGCGCGCGCCCCATTCCAAAATCTCCCCGGTTTATGAATTTTGGCCCCGCTCGATGCCATTTTTTCGGCGGAAAGGGAGAGAGAGAGAGGAATATTTGCGTTCGGAGCAGCATAAATTTGAATGGATGATTTCGCTCTCATTGTCGCTTTTGAAGGCACACGCCTGCACAAGCGAGCGACCGAGCGAGCGAGAGGGAAAATAAAAGGAATTCCCCTGGGGGAGAATGGCATCGCATTAAGCGCGGCGAACAGTAGCGCTCCCTGAAACCAATCGATTTCCCAGAAATTTAATGGAGAGACAGAGCTCTCTCTCTCTCTCTCTCTCTCTCGCTCTCTTCAGCTCGGGCCAAATGAGCAACGCCCTCGCGCTCCTTTAATTGTGACCGGCCCATCTGCCGCCAGCAGCTAGCTGGCTAGAGGCAGCAACGTACCTACGCCGTATAAACGCCGGAGGGGACACTGCCGCTGTTGTCGCTTTGTGCACGCGCAACTTTTTCGGGATCTCGTCGAGAATAATACATGCCGCCGGATTTATAGCCGCGATCTATCCGCAGCGAGGGAAGCGGCGTCGCCTGTTAAAAGCGCGGCGCAGGCGCGATTTATCGCCCGCGACTTATTAATTGAGACGAACGCTGGACGGTTGTTTCTTCCTTCTCTTTCACCCGCCGGCCTTTATAATTTGCGCTATCCAAAAAATAAGACGGCTTGCTCTACTCTACTTTTTCTCTATCGATAATAAATTATTAATGCACGAGAAAGATAAAGTCTCAATGGAAAACGCAACCCTTTATCAGCGAGATCCGCGCCGATATACAATTCACTTATGCCCTTCTCCCCCTTCGTTCCCCTCTCTCCAGAGTAAACTTCAAAAAGCGCTGCTTGTGCGATATCTCGCAATGCCCCCCAGAGTAGCATTATGAAAGCAAGAAGACACGCAGAAAAAAAGGGCGAATCGAAGGCTCCCCCATCTCATTCTCCGGCGAGAATAATGAGCAGAAAAAAAAGGAGATAGCATAGCAGCGAGAGAGAGAGAGAGAGAGAGAGAGAGAGAGAGAGAGAGAGAGAGCAAACGGCCGTAATGCGGTGTAATTGCGAGAGAGAGAGAGAGAGATCTAGTTGCAGAGCGTTATCGCGCACATGGGAACGGTGCCCCTCGTCACTCCGCGTGCAGCAGATAGCTAGTGACAGGAAGAGGGAGATTTATCGGCGAGCGCTCTCTTTCGCCGAGCGCATTAATAACGAGCGTACGGCGTAGTACTGCCCACCCCCGATCGCGCGGAAAGAGAAAAGGTTGCGTTAAGCGCGCTCTCTCACTCTCTCTCTCTCTCTCTATCTTTGATGTACAATTAACACCGAGTGGGCACGGCGACGCCGATGCACGCACATCGTGTCGAAAATCGCTGGTACGTTATCGCGACGACGACGACGACGACGACGACGTTGATTGAGCGATTTGTTAGCGCACGCAGCTACCGGCGTGATTAATGGGCCCGCGCTTTCTTATACATTCTCGGGAGAGAGAGAGAGAGAAAGAGAGCGCAAAATAGGACGTTTATATTACGCGAAAGAAGGCACTGCCACATCAAAGACGTGACTTTTCCTTTCGAGCCGTCTCGTATGCGCGGAGAGCGAGCCGAGAGCGCGCATTATCATAATTGTTTTCCGATGGGCGTTGTACACTCATGCGCTCGCGCGGCCCGTTCCTCAACGGGCATTTAGATTTCTCCGGCGAGATACACGCATACCTACATCTACCTATATGCACATAGGCGCGCGCGCTCGCTCGCTCTTAAGCTCCGCTCTGCTCGGCGTACATTACCAGATCGAAAAACGAGCGAAGGATACAGTTAGAATTATCTCGCGCTCGTTCTCTCAGGCTCTCCGCGCCAGCAGGCGGCCGACAGAATAAAGGACAGGAGGGAAAAAATAAAGGCGAGCGCGCGAGTGCGTACGTGTACGGCGCTTATCACTCGCGCGCGCGCGCACATAAATCACCGAAAAAGAAAAGCACGGCCGTTGCGCAAAAGTTTAATCTCTAATTGCCGAGTCGCGCTCTTTTTGGCATAGGCCTACTCTCTCCCTCTCTCCGCGCGTCGTAAATCTCTTTTTCGGGAACCAACAGCAGCCGGCTGCGCGTGGAACACATAATCGCGCGGGGAGGGAGAGAGACAGACGTTGATTCTTCTTCTTTGCAGGGGCTTCCAACGAAGTAGCAGACACCCCCCCCCCCCCAACCATTTATTAGCGAGTAAACGACTTGCGACCGCGAACGAACGATTGCACGTTTATATGAATATTAATTGTGGAAGCTCAATCGCGAGGTACCTACACACGGAACGAACGAGAGGGCAACTTTTGAATTTCAATTTATAGCTGTACCTCGCGAGAGGGAGAGAGCGCGCGCGGAGATAGAGATACCGATCTTCCTCTTTTCGTTTTTTTTTTTCTTCATTCATGAATTCCTAATTACTTGTCGCGCGCCGCGTTGGCACGGCGCACCGAAACTGAAAAAGAAGCACAGCACTGAAGATCCGAATGAAAATCAAAGTAGAGAGCGAGAAAGAGAGAGGCGTAGGTAGAAACACAGAGAAGAAAGAAGCGCGCGCGTTCTTTCGAAACAATCGCGAGAGAAGAGAGAGAGAGAGAGAGAGAGAGAGAGAGCGAGCGAGTGGCGTACAAAGGAGGGACGAAGTAGAAGATTGTGTACGTGAGTGTGTGCGTGTGTGCGGGAATATCGGACTCACTTCATTGCAACCGGTCTCGCCGTGTCTCCACCACTCGCACGAGCCGTCGAGGCTGTGGCTCTTCAGGCATTGCGACCTGCACTGGGCGATTCTCACGAGCGGTCCAAGGTCGAAGCTCGCCACCATCGACGTCGCGGTGCACACCGCCACGAAAAGCAACAGCGTCATCCTCGAGAGCATCGTCGCAAAGCACACTGAGCAACACTGGAAACTGTCGAGTTTGGAAATCCGTATGCGGTGTGGCGCAAGCCGTTCGGAGCCGCGCACCGAATCGCGGAGCAACAAACTTTATCGCGGGAAGCGCGCGCGCGCACTGCGTTCAAGCCTCGGATAAGCGTCGCAATGTAGCGCCCAGCTCCAGCGGGGATTCAAGACTGTGACCCTTCGGCCAGAGCCAGTCCGTTATATAGCCGCGCATCTCCCACCAGGCTCGACGCGCAACTGCTCCCCTCCTTTCTCCCTTGCTCCGAACGTAACATAGAGGAGCGCAACCGCTGCCTGAGCCCGCCACCGCCGTGGTGGTCACTCGTTTCTTCTTCTTCTTCTTCTTCTTCTTCTTCTTCTTCTTCTTCTTCTTGGTGTGCTATCCTGTGCAGTCCGCCGCAGCTTGAGAGAGAGAGAGAGAGAGAGAGGAGCATCCCTTGTAATTACCCGTGGGCGCTCTCTCTCTCTCTCTCTCTCTCTCTCTCTCTCTCTCTCTCTGCGGCATATGGTCAGCCGTAGAGAGACGGAGAGCCCCGAGAGCAAGCACTTATTTTCGTACAAATTATTTTTCCTTTCTGCCCCCAGAGCTTTTTAATTGACGAATTGTTGCGGCTTGTTTAGTTGTTAATCCAGCGCCTGATTGCGACTGCATCTCCACTTTTCTGCCGGGGCTATTGTAAATTTAAAAACTGCGCGGCGACTTGTGATTACCGCCAAGGGAATCGCTATTAAAGCCGGACTTCTTTATAAGTGCTCTCCGTGAGAGCAAGGTAATTCGGTCATGTTGCGATTTATTTATCGCGCGGCAACTGCCTGTGCGGACACGCGATTTCAAAGGCCAGTTTATTAATCCGTTTATGAAATTAAAGCAGCCCTCGTGCGTGTCTCAAGTATTGATCATCCTCGATTTATGCCTCGATTGTTGGAGAAATGATTGAGTAATACGCGCGCCGTTCCTTCAATTTATGACGACGGCGTTTTTTTCTTCCTAACAGAGCATTTTCCTTTACCCTTTGTTCGCTTTGATAATTATAGCAGCTTCAAAAAGTGCACATCGCAGAGATGCAGTTGTGGTGTAACGAGTCAGCGAAAATTTTCAATGCACCACGTGGCTTGTTTCGTTCCTGACTCACTCGCGCGCACCGCCTACTGTGGCAGTCGCGCATCAATTTCAATTGACGTTCTCGTCGAGCTCTTGCATTCTTAGAGCCTCGCTGTCGTGCTGTTTTTCTTTCCTTCGTTCTTTACGTTCGTAATCTGATACTCCTAAAATTTAATAAATTATAGTCATCCGAGTAAAGTCAGAGTGACTATGTGCAAACGGTTGCCATTAATGAAAAGAAGGACGCCCAGTCTTTTTCGCGCTCATTGGCCAAGAATGTTAATTGAGCCATTGTGATTCGCGAGAGCACTCGTTACTTTGATTAAATATCCCATTATTTAAATTGGCTCAAGTGATGAGTATGAACCCTAAATCTTCCGAGTAATTATTCTTTCAGTACATGAGAAGTTGGGGCAGATTGAATGTTGAAAAAGAAAGCCTTTGACGAAGATATAGGTGTCGTCGATTCGTGTATAAACGCCAAACGGTCAATTGATAGAAATAATTGATTAAGATAAAAGAAAATGAAAAGCAACGGAGCCGGAAAATGAATTAATTTAGCATGGCGCTGACCGCGCGCGCCGGGTATGACTAATTTTTTAATTTCATCAAGATGCGCAAGGATAACGCAGGGACGTAGGACGCGCACAGCAAACTACTCATTTTTCAAGCTGGAGACTTAAACGCGCGATTGATTTCCGAAGAAAGACCAGGCATTCCTTTAAACTCGCATCTTTGTACGGATTAAATTGCCCTTAGCGGAGCAAGGGAAGAAAGGGCACATGGAAGCGGAAAAGGAATGGAAGAGAAGTGTACGTACGCTGTTTCTTTACTGCAGGACTCGGAGAAAATTCGCTTTAAATCTGTTGTTCGGCGCAGTTCGGCGGATAAAGCACAATTTCGCTGTGGCGTAATGTGTCCGACAAAGTCACTGTATACACTGCAGTATATGCCGGAAGAGGGCTGGGGGCTACTGGCTTCTCTTGATTGTACATTGTGTGTTCGGCGAAACTGCGCGCCAGGCATTGTGCCCATCGTCAAATTTTCGCTTGCAATGGGATGGAAAATCACTTGGGAAATTAGTTTTTCAGTTCGGGATCCACGCAGTACCTAACGCTCCGATTTAATAATTAAGTTTCGCCAATGCCATACATGTAAGGGGAAGGATAAATTGTTTTTCTTTCCTGTGCACAGAATGAAGGAGAGATTTGACGAATGGCCTGTCGTATAATACGAGGGGGAAAATTGAATTAAGTCGCAGTTTGGTTTTCAAGATCACACGTGAATTCGATTCAGGCGCGCTTTGAGACGGAAAATCCGAAAGCATTATTTCCATGAAAATTAGAAACTAATATTTCATCCAACAATTATATTGTGCTCCCCTTTGTTCAATAGCTAATAAACATAATTTTCATTTGAAAGTCGAATAGCTCTCAATACTTCCCTCAAAGTAGACATGTGCTTTTAGAAAAGAGAGAAAAATACCGAGAAAAATATCTTGTACGCTATGTTCCCGTAGCCGCGCTATTATTCAAAGATAAATGACTGAAGGGTTGAAAACTATTCAGAAGTCGTTCCGCAAGCCTGCATCTATTATTAAGAGATTTTCACAGTGAAAACGGATAATTACTCGTCGGGCAAAAAGGAACAACACATTTTTCTCAAAGGTCTTTGACGAGTCAAAACACATGTTAGCTTGCAGCGATATTCCGGCAATATTTATAGAGTAACGCAATAGGCCAAATGTTACTGCTCATTAAACATCTTGAACAATATGTATATACTCACCCTCGCGCATCCGGTCGAGCGCAGTAAGAATGGCCTCGCAAGAGAGAAAAAGTTGATACGGCCTCGCACACATGTCCTCCCACAAGCACTCGCGAACAATGTTTTCACAAAAAAGGAGAAGACAAGAAGCGTCAAGGAACACTGGCTTGAGCCTCATTTACAAACACATATATAATAGCCCCCTCTTCGGCAAACACGAGTAGCCTCGCCGCCCATTTCCTCGCGCGAAAAGAAGTGCCTGCGCACTCGAACGAGGCCGGAAACTCGAGTTTCGGCTGCGTATCAATCTCACGGAGAGAAAACCCCGAAGCAACGCAGTCGATTAGCTGGCAGCGACCAGCCGTCTCTCGTACGTACAATTTTTTTTTTTTTTTTTCGTCTTCTGGGGCGCTGGTACCTACGCTCGCGCGCTCAATAGGAAGGATGTTTGAGATACTCGTGGTGCGCATGGTTCTCGATCTTACGAGGGATATATCGTGTTTTCTGTGGGCGGTGCGCATACACGCCTCGCGAGCGTAACGCATAGTTGCCGCCGCGCGGCTCGTAAAAACCGGCGCTCTCCTTCTCTCTCTCTCTCTCTCTCTCTCTCTCTCTCGCGTGGATTTTCGTCGTCGCGCGTAAATCCCGCCGTTTTGTTAACGCCGCGCGCACACGACTGCACACACACGGGAAATACGGCCGAACGCCGTACTCGAGGCTCATCGAGGTCCTCCGATCGATTATTGGTTCCGAGGATACGTTATTTCGCACGCTGCCGCCTGCAGCGGAGCGCGCACTTTAGCCTTGGACGCTTAATGATTTGTTTGAATATCCCCGGCGCGCTGCTATCGGCTGCAAACTTTGTTTCCGTAATTATGCTTAATATCCTCATTACGATTTTATCTCTTTCGACTAACCATTTGCCCGCGCTTTTGAAACGCGCGCATTACGTGAACTTTTGTTTTTTCTCGTGCTCGACGAACCTTACAATATTTATTTTCGTTGCGCAATTACGAGATAAGAGTGGCACTCTGGAGAATTGTTTATTACCACGGGCTGTCTGACTTGAGAATACAATTAGGTATTGTAAATGTACCCGCAAAAACCGTGCAACATAGAGGAAAAAGCCCAGCGCCAATAATAGATCATTGAAATTACTTATAAATATATTAACTTGAAATGGACAGATGCTCATGAAGCGTTATGGGTTGGACGTGGGGCCCGTTGATCGCCTCCCAAAAGATCTTAAGCAGCACTCTAAATTAAGGGCGAGTGCCCTCTGGTGTGTATATTCGAGGTTCGCATTTCAGGTATATTACAAAGACGCAAGCACAGATAAAGGGAAGCATTAGATAGCACGAGTGTACAAGCAGCGAGCTGCTTCTCCGCCCCGTGCAAACACGCGTATTTTTCCGAGGGCGGGAGAGAGAGAGAGGAAGGTGCAGCACTCGCGTATCGAGTGGCCCTCGCGAAGATTAAATAAAAAGCAGCGGCCGCTCTTACCGGAAGCTCGCGGGGCCTCCTTTTTATTTCGACTACTTCACAATGAACAGGATGTGTACAAAATAAGGGTATTCGGCTGTGGACCTCGCGCGCAGAGAGAGAGAGAGAGCCCAATTGTGGCTTGGCTATAAGTCGTTCGACGGGTGCTTTGGCCCGGCCTAATTGTCGAACGGCAAACGTGACGTTTCATTGTGTCCGAGTTTTTCACATATGCGACACACAGCTGGATTTTCCGAAAATTAGCTATTGTCGAGAGGCGGCGACGCGAGAGGGTGGTTCCGCAAGTATACGATATACATGCGCGTGCGTGAAAAAACGATGCACTTGACCCAATGTATGCGCGAAGATTGCTTTCTCGTCGCGCCACGCATGGGGAATTTTCTATTTTGCGCGGCGGCATTCCGTCCGAGGGGATGAACTTTCTCCTGCTTCCTCCCGCTGGCTGTGACTATTCCGTTCTCGGTACCTGTTGCGACGACACGACTTTCTCTTTTCCTTTGCTCCCGGGGTTTTTTGGATAATACATTTCACCCTACTGTTCGGTCGGACAGTCGCGCAGTGGTTCAAGAGAAAAAATTGTTAACGCGTGAGTTTCTGGCCAGCGCATCGCTCGTGACAGGCTACCGAGTTTTAGAATTGCCCGCTGTTCCTTCAATTGGTCAAGTTCACTAATAAAATGCATTTCTGAGCAACAAGATACCAATCAGATAAAGTAATAACAGTTTTTTTTTCTCTCAGCGTAAGAGCTAATGAATATGAAATTATGTAGAATAAGTAGA